CACCATTAAGTCTGAGTTCAGCTTTAAAATTAGTTACAAAAGTATTAACAATGATACAGAAAAATTAAATTCAATATTTTGTTGGAAAATTTGAACTGAATTACATATTTAGATTGTGTTTTTACTTCACTTAAAAAAATGTGTCAGGTGAACGTAGACTTTATTGGCTATGTGTATGTTTATTGGTGAAGATATTTGAGGAGGAAAAGAAAGAAGATGATCCCCCAAAGCCTACGCCAGTTCTCGAAGTTTTCATATACAAACAAGAAAACTTCAAACATATTTTTATTCAGAAATTAGGGAATATGGAATAGTACGTTATTTTACGTAGATTGAACAATAACAAAAAAAAAAAAATACAGAATTCTCAAATTAACATTTAAAAAATTTTATCAACGATCTCTAAATATATGAACGCATATACTCGTATGAATATAACAATGCGATTTGTTTTTGTTCCTTATTTTGTTTTTATAAAAATGATCTCTAAATATATATATACACTAGCGGTCCGGTACGTGCTTCGCTACGTGTAAAGTGAAATAACAAAAAAATTTAATTAGAATATCAATTGCAATTCTTCAAACAAAAAAATATTTAATTAAGTGCTAATTATTTTAAAACATTTGGATAAACAAAAATTTTTATTTTTTATTTTGAGCATGAATAAACAAACGGCTACGGGTACCGACTCTGGAACAGGCAACAAGTTGGCCATAAGAAAAACTTGATTCCTCCAAATTCACACCACAAATGTGAAGTGTTTAGGCCTTGTCGACTGCTGTTCCTTGTTTACGTCTTCGAAGTTGTCTCGATGACACATTCCATGTGTATTACTGAGGCACTTCAGAATATAACAAATTTATCGCAAATGTATCAGTTTTGCATAATTTTAAAAAATCGGTTAATGTAGTCGCTGGTGGTTGTGCTGCTCTTCCCAATACATTTGCGTCATTAAAATAAACTCGCTGGCCATTCTCAAGTTGTACAGCCAAGTTAACAACCACAAAATGTCATTCGTACATTGGAAACGACATAATCCTCCAGACAGCTTCATTACTACTAATATAGCGCCCCATTTGATACTGAGTAATTTGATCTTTTTTATTATCACCGGCAACACCGAAAACAGTCATATCGCTTCCTTTATTTACATACTTGCACATACTCCACATTTATATGAGCATTAAGTATTTTCGATAATAATGGACAATGCGGGACCACCCAACGATTATCAACTTCAACGTCCTGGTCTAATGGTTGCCGTTTTGCCATTATCATTAGGTGATCTACGTTCTTTACAAGGGATATCCCCATTGCTCGTTATTGTGTCTGAAGTCAATTGCCTTGTGTATCCTTTCGAACACTTTCCATGCTTCACGATATGTTTGACACAAATGACCGTTGACTGTTCTCAATTCTTGAAATGATTTTGGACCATTGACGTTAACTAATAACAATCGCAAATAAATAAAAACACTCAGCGTTGTTTGGATGTACTGTATATATTCTCCCAATTGCATCTGTTTGGAAAATTTACCTGTTTGTGGATCAATCATTAGGTATTGTAATGCATCGTAACTATGATGAAGTTCCGAAACGCGTTGCAATTGCTCATATCTGCAATGAAGTACAATATCAGGGGATTAAAACTGATCACCAAGAATTACAATTGCAACCACATCAATTGTCGTTGCATTGAATCGCCTTGCATGCTCTCCAAAAGGTGTTCTATCAGCGCTTATTACGATTTTGTGATTTTCAGATGGCATACGATCGAGGGAAATTTTTAACTAATGCGTTATGCTGATGGAAAATCTATTGTAGCTCACGAATAATTTCTCGTCTTGTATTTGAAACAATTGCACAATTCACGATTTTCATCACCAACATTTGCAAAAATTGTTGATCAGCGTCGGGGTATGGCAATAACGAAGCAGATTGATGACTTAAACTCAACCAAAGAGACTACAATAAGTTTTATGTATTGAGTTAATGTGCAAAACGTCGACCAGAAGATTGGAGTTGATAATATAAGAGATATGAGATTAAGACTAATATCTAGACCAACTCTTTTTAAGTTCACTGCTAAACAATGTTTTTACAAAACCATTATATGGGGAGTAGGCTAGGTTACCATCCGAATTCACCCATATTTATACTGTCGATTCAAAAATCTTCAGCTCACATGTGCTCCTCACCTCTCCCCGGTACCGAATTACAGTTTGGATATCTTAATTTGCGGCTTAGTTATGACCTTTTATAAGTTTTCGATTAATGACGTTTAGTGGCGTAGCAATGGACCAATTCTGCCCATCTACAATACCAACCCCCCTTGGGTGCCAAGGAATATATGTACGAAGTTTCATCAAGATATCTTAGCTTGAACAAAACTATTACAATCTGTAGCAACATGTTGCAAGAATATACAAATAAAAGACATTTCTCAGAAAGGTTTTTGATTTTGGTTTTGCCAATGGGATGATACCATTGTTACCTGGGGACTTTGAACTTTGTATCCTCGAGACTTTGGACTGGACCTCTGAAATATTTACGTATGTATGTTAGAAGTTTATTCGCACTGTGGTATTGGCTGTATTCTTGAAGTTAAATATCTCAAATATAGTGTTTAATCTACACTAAGAATTGTTAGCATGTTCTACCAGAACCCGTCCTATAGTAGGCATTTTTTAAGTATATGGTTGCCTTACACATGTCATACTCATCCAATCGAGTATTCTTTAAGTTAATTATTATCATATTAAACCGCTGGTAGCTTAACTGGGTGGATAGCTTTAACTGACAAAAATGTTTTCACCAAGTTGAGATTAGCTTACTTACAGATAGTTTAATTATTGTAAACATTTTTACTGAATTGCTTACGCGGTGTTTACAAAAAGGTCTCTTCCCGAAAATGTGGAAAAAGTAACGACTGGTCTTGTTGCAGAAGACAAATAAACCAGCAGGAGAGCCCAGCTTATACCGACCGCTTTGTATGCTGGATACGATTGGCAAGGTACTAGGGCGAATAATCTGTAAACATGCGGTAGCAACGATCAAAGAATGCCTCACAGCAACAAACCTTCAACTTGCTGGACAAAAAACTGAATCAGTGCTGATCACATGCAATAAGAAAATTAAGGGCATCAAACTAAATATCGATGGCCATGGTATCACGGTGCAGCAGTCGCTGAAGTATCTAGGATAGACACTAGACACAAAACTTAGTTACAAGACGCACATCGACAAAGTTTGTGAGAAAGCAGCACGTGTAACGGCCGCACTAACGAGTATAATGGCCAACATTCCCACGAAGCAGTTGAAATCATAGTGGGCATCATTCCACCAGAGATGTGGTCATGGAATTCAAACGAGTACATGACAGGTCCAAAAGTCTGGGCAGGCGATTAACGGTGGAGGAGAGGGGGGATGAAAGACAAACAAGCCTCAATGAATGGCAGAGAAATGAGATGCGGCAACAACAAGGAGATAGACCCACAGGCTAACTAGAGGCGTACGCGTGGGTAGAGCGGAATATGGAGAAACAGATTTATACCTGACACAGGTTTTAATGGGGCTGATTTTTCTTATCAATTTTACAGCTAACATCTGTCATTTCATGCTCTGGTTAGAAACTAACCAATACTTCTTATTTCGGTAAAGTTTATTAGAATTTAACTGACACATATTTGCTAACCAGGTATTTAGAAAACAATTTTTATATTCTTGCAGCATGTTGCAATACTGTTATTGGGTATAAACGTGGTCTCGCCCCCTAACCTCGCCTTAACCGCTATAGCTATAATAACAAAACTCACTGAAAACAACTATTTTTAGCACTTCTATCGACAGTGTGAAAATGGATGAAATCGGGTGACATGCCCGCCCACTCACCATATAACAGTACTGTTAAAACTACTAAAAGCACTATACACGCCAGAGACATTAAATTTTATATATTATTTTATTATAATATAGGTCAATATGTAAGATATATAATTGAAATTTATATAATAAAATAAAGAAATGAAACTCTCGATAATAGTAGGTTTTTCTGTCAAAAATGGGTTGAATCGCACCAATACTTCCTTTAATATATAATTTTGACAACACCCGAGGTAATTTCCCTTGCAAGTTGCGAGAGTACAAAATGTGCGGTTACACTCGAACTTAGAACTTCCGTACTTGTTCAACTTGTTGTCGATAAAGTTCTAGTTAAGCGTTTAACCATATATTGAGAAAACGACCCTAATTAATAGTCAATTTACCGTTAGAAAATCAAAAAAAGTATTCAAAAAAACACTTTTAAAAGTTAAAAAATTTCTTGGTACAATAGTAACTCAGTTTTAGTTTATTTTGAGGATCAAGAAATCTAAAATTATGGGAATTTTACCAATTTTTCCCGACAAAATCTTCAAAAATGTTTATACCTGTGCCTGTATGCCTGTATATACGCGAATATATATAACATATAGTGTGGGTCCAAACCAACGAATGTTTTTTTGTCGCTTCTTACTCTGAGAAATTTGTTGATCGACACCTCAAAGAAAGGCTCTCCAAGTATATGCTCTTAATTGTAATGAGAATTTCCTCCGTCTAACGGTTTTCTATGTTTTTCTTATTATCGAATAGAAAAATTTATATCTCGCTTCCAACTACTCTTGAAAACATAAGTATTACGTTTTGTGGATTATGTAGGAAATTTGTATTTGTACGTTTAATGCAGATTTATAAATTTCTATACTAGTTATCGCTTTCACGGATGGAGTGAGACATCCCTAAACTGGTCATTTTGATACCTATCTTATGAGTTCTAGATGTTACAAACACTCGTTAGGTGAACAAAACTATTATAATCTGCGCAACATCCTGCGAGAATATTAATGCAAGCAGCCCAGTAGGGAAGCACACAGCATTGCAAAAGAACTATTTTTGCTTAAATAATTCAAATCAATACAACAGAAAATTATTACAGTTTTTTTTGTTTTTTATCCGGAAAGTTTCATCATTACCTTGTACCCATCGAAGTCCAAAAATTGTAGGAGGGTCGGAAGCAGAAAAAAGCGAATTACCATTTATTGTAAGCCTTATGCGACGTGGAGGACATTTTTGTGGCGCTAGTATTTTAAATGATCGGTGGCTTGTGACGGCTGGACATTGTGTCTGCAATGGATTGAACAAGATTTATCAAACATCACAAATCCAAGGTGTTATAGGTCTCCACAGTATATCACAGTATCTTAATGGTAATTCAGCCGAAAAATCGACTCCTGTTCGCGTTAACTTTAAAAGTATTATACCTTATCCAAAATATGAGTGCACCAACGTGAAACATGATATTGGTATGCTAAAATTTTTTGTTTTCAATTTACTCGTAAATATAAATCATGAATCCTCTTTGCTAATTCAGCTCTACTTCAGTTGGATGAACCTTTAAAATTTACAGAACGTGTCAAACCAATATGTGTTGGTGTTGAAAAACCTCTTATAGAATACGAAAATCAATTAGCAATAGTATCTGGTTGGGGATGGACAGATGAAAATCAAGAAGAAGGTCACAAGGCAGACATTTTAAAAAAGGTTACCGTGAAAATCTGGAATAATACTAGTTGCGAGAAATTTTATAAAATAAATGGGAATCCGAGCAGTATAATCTCAGACACCCAACTATGTGCCGGATTCAAAAACGGGGGAGCAGATTCTTGTTGGGTAAGTATCATGTAATTGTGAACGTATGTACATTTATGTGTCTGTATAAGTTAACACAATAAATAACAACTAACAAACTATTTAGGCTGATTCTGGAGGTCCACTAATTATGAAAGATAAAATATTAGTTGGAATTGTTTCAACGGGAATCGGATGCGCTAGACCTGGACTTCCGGGAATATATACACGAGTCAGCAAGTATGTTGATTGGATTGAATCAGTTTTAAGAAACGCTAACGCTCTCTAAAATGTACTGTGATATTAATACATATATTACCATGAGTATTTTGCATCTAATAGTAATTTCTAGATTATAACTTAATTTATAGTATCTGAATTTGTAATAAAGTATAGTACCTGAATTTTATAAATATTTTGCTTTATTTTAATTTTTAAAAGTGTTTAAGGAAATGAAGGTAAAAAAAACAAAGAAAAAGTTAAATCAAACAGTATTTTTGATATGTATCTACGTTCATTTTTTGTGCAGTTTTCCTGGATACCTAAATAAAAGCGTTGAGCGGCACGTTAATGCCGACGCGCCACCCCAAAATAAGGTAGGAAAAGATTTTTCAGAAAAATTACAATTTTTTTGTTTTCTGCAACCAACTTTACTTCTTAACGTGCTGTCAAAATTTTTCAACCCTTCAGCGTTGCCGCCGCGTTTATTTATGTATGCGCCATACAAAATCTATGGGCATGAGGATTTTTGACAGTAATTTGACGATGCCGCTTTTATTTAGGCAGTTACTGTTTGATGAAAATATAAAAAACAAAAAAATACCATATTCTTTATAAATCGATATGCGCTAACCTTGATTTCTATGTTTGATCATAAATAGTTTTCTTTCAACTAAACAAATGGCTAAACATTTTCAAGAAGGTAAAAAAAAATATGAAAGTAAAACATTATTTTGGCAAGAAATTTAATGTTTCTTTGAGTTTCAATAATACTGTAAATTGAGTAAATCACATAGAATTTAAAATTGTGATTTTTTTCACAATGTAACATCGGAATGTCGGGAAAATTTTTTGCACCAAATTTGGTTTTAAGTCCAGTAGTTCCTAAGATACACGATTTCATCTAAAGGTGGGCGATTCACTCCCATTGTATTATTTTTCCACCGATTCCTACAAAGCCCCTTGTGTGTTTAATGTTTCTGACGTATTGTATTTCCTTAGCAATGTTATCGCAATTTCATTGGACTCCAACGTAAACGTTATATGAGAGGTGGGCATAGTTATTCAGCTGATTTTCCAAAACTTCACAGTGGATAAAAGGGTTGTAGAAAGACTAGTTTTTTTTTACAAGTTTGGTAGCTGTAGTGGATTGTGTAATATCTCAATCAAACCCAGCGGGGCCACCCCCACTTTTACAAAAATTCCAAACCCCAAATGCTCCATCCTACTGCCATTATCTGCACCGATTTAAATTTTTGTATCTTAATTTGTAGCTTAGTTATACCACTTATGTTATACATGAGTAAAAACACGTCAAGTGGACCCCCCCATTTTCCACTTGATCATCGAATTTAAATGTGAGTATTTTTTCATAAAGCAGTCATCCTGAGCAAGTAATCCCCCGCTCAGTTTTTTTAATTTTAATTTTAACAACAATTTTTTTTTAATTGAAAATTTTTACTGTATTTAGTTAAAAAATTAATAACTAGAAAACTATTGGTGATTTTTTAATGAAATTTTCAGGAGTTATAGTTCAAAACTTTTACTTTGAAAAAATATGTATAGAATTTAAATAATTTTTCAAATTGTTAATTAACTTTAAGTTAAGAAATGAAAATTTAATGACTTCTCCTCAAAAATTAAATTTTTAGTATTTTGCAATAAACATTAAAGTAACGAAATCCGCAAAATTTTGACTGATCGCGATTAGATTAAGCGAAATTTTATGACGGGCGGCCAGCTGCCGTTATAGCGCTGCGGTATAGCGCTGCAAGTATAGTGGCTGGCAACGCAACACTTGAGTGTGTTGCATATTTATTTGTAGTTGGGATGATGGTCTCACATTTTGTTGCAGTGAATTAGCATGAATGTGGTAGAACAATATGCATAATTCCTACCCGCTTAATAGTTTCAAAGAAATACTTATGACGGAATTCCCTAATCCACCAGAATGTATTGAATCCGCTATTAATTTCAAGGCCAATTTTAACTGAATGTCCTATTCTTTAAGTATTAAAAATTCATAATTTCTTTAAATTTAATATTTTTGAGTATCTTAGTCATTGACTTATAGTTAGAATAGTTTTCTAGTTATTAATTTTTTAACTAAAAATAGTAAAAATTTTCAATTAAAAAAAAATTGTTGTTAAAATTTAAATTTAAAAAAACTGAGCGGGGGATTACTTGTTCATGATGACTACCTTATGTAAAAATACTCACATTTAAATTCGATGATCAAGTGGAAAATGGGGGGTCCACTTGACGTGTTTTTACTCACAAGTATATTTACATACGTAAGTATATCTCTCAAAGGTTAATACGAAAATATACAAAAGTACAAGTATGAACGCAAGTGGGTAATGGTAGGTGAGCTCGTTGACTTAAAAACAATAATAAATCCTCAAATTAATGAATTGTTTGTGTGACATTAATATTGTAATTAGCAGAGCAAAGGATTTCGTTGAATTTTATTCATCTTAAGGTAGTTGTATAAATTAGAAACAAACAAAAACGCCCGTGCAAATTTGTATGCATAAAGCTTATTAAATTTTTAATTATTAACGTTTAGGTTTAGATTAATTTAATAATAATTGTAATGCGTTTGCAAACGCTGTACGAGTAGAAGCACGGATCGAAACAGGAAACGCTGAAGGGTGAAGCCATTGAATCCGATTAGACGCAAATATGAGCCAAACTGAGATCGAAGTTTTGCTCAGGCGCGTTGACGAAAGGAATCAGATGTAGTTGTCGCAGAAACGAATAAAGGCAGCAAGCAGGAACCGTGTTGACTCAGAGAACTTAAAACAATGAGAAGGTGCAAATTGAATTTTGTATGATGCTCGATTGGTTGGCTGAAAATTTGAGATCAAGGAGTTCACCACTTTCTGATAGTTTTTTATTAACTGAAATGAGAATTTTAAAACGTTTCTGACAAAATACGTATCTACTAATATAAAAGAAAATGAAATGAAATGAATGAGAAAACAAGAAATACAAATGCCTCTTCACATATGCATGAATTTTTCCATATAAACGATTTTATGATAAAAATTGATAAAATATGATTTTTGCACAAATGAGGCATGATAAAAAGAAAGATTATACAAAAATGATATTTTACTATTTTCATAATTTTCTAATTTAAATTTTACAGAATTAATAATTTATGTATGTACATCAATATGTTATATTATATAATATAATAATATATTATCAATTATCAATAAATACATGTGAGCGCACTGCTTTATATGTAAGTATGTATGTACAAATATAGCATGACCGCGCAAAATAAGTAATGCATACACAAATCTACATACATTTAAGCGTACAAATGGGCATGTCATAATAGGAAAATACAAACATTGTTGTCAAAAACAACAATTGTCTCAAATCATCACTCCAGAAATCAGGGTTAAATTGATCCCTAAATTGTAGTAAACTACACCAACAACATTTTCATTCATGAACGCTGGCGCACAAGCTAAGCTTCGTTTCATCTATAAAAGCAAACGCCTTACCTCTCGAGCATGCGTTTGCTACAAGCGTCTTTTCGCGACGATGGCAAAAGCTAAAATCAAATTGAACAAATTTCTGATATTCCTCTAGAAGGAAAAGTGACAACCCTCAAATATGAGTATTAAAATATTTTAGAATAAAGTGACAACATAGTAATTTGGATTTACACAAGAAACTTTTAATATTCAATTCCTCTGATTTATGTATACAGTAAACCCCGGTTAAGTATCTTGTTTTGGCACTTATCCGGGATTGACTGTATTTGTCAAAGAATTTCTGTAAGACGTTCGATTTTTGTACACACATTGACTTTGCACTGCCTGCGATGTGTTTGTAAGAGTGTATGGACATCTCGGATTTTCTACCAACAACACAATGTTGTGACGCCAGAGAACAAACAATAAGGTGCAAAATTGTAATGCTTGATTATTCTGAAAATTTGAGATCAAGGAGTTCACCACTTTCTGTATAGTTTGCTGTTATTTAACAGAAATGAGATTTTAACAAAGTTCTCTGACAAAATACGTATCTACCAATATAAGAGAAAATGAAATGAAATGAATGAGAAACAAGAAATACAAATGCCACTTCACATATGCATGATTATTTTTGCCATATAAACGATTTTATGATGAAAATTTATAAATTATTATTTTTGCACAAATACTACATTGATAAAATGTGAAAGATTATGCAAAAAATATTTTACTTTCATAATTTTCTAATTCAATTTTAAGAATTAATAATTTATGTATGTACATCAATATTATATTATATAATATAATAATATATTATCAATTATCAATAAATACATGTGAGCGCACTGCTTTATATGTAAGTATGTATGTACAAATATGCATATGACCGCGCAAAATAAGTAATGCATACACAAATCTACATACATTTAAGTCGACAAATGTAAGTATCGTCAGCCAATAGGAAAATACAAACATTGTTGTCAAAACAACAATTGTCTCAAATAGCATCAGCTAGAAATCAATATGGCAGCCAAATGACAAACTAAATTTGTAGTAAATCCACACCAACAACATTTTCATCATGAACGCTGGAAAGCAATAAGCGTCTTTATCTCATAAAGCAAACGCTCACATCTCCCCGAGCATGCGTTTGCCTACAAGCGTTTTCGCGATGATGGCAATAGAAATCTTAAATTGAACAACTTTCTGAAGTTCTCTTTAGAAGGTAAAGTGACAACCCTGCACAAACACAGAAAAGTGACAAAAGTGGCTACAAAGCTTTGTCGATTTACAATTTACAATTCTACAATTCTTGTTTTGTTTTAAGTTTCTGGTGACGCTTTGTCGTCGCGTCAGTTCTTCGACAGATTGACTTCGACATAAAAGCAAAATGTTCAAGAGATTTCACATGAAGTAATGAGTAATTATTATAAAATATTAAATGTAAACGACATAATATGTATGTATGTCCTGTTGCAATTTGCTTCTACGCCAGTCAAATTTCTAGGAAAATCAACTGAAATTAGTATTGAAATAAAATAGACTTTGATAAACAATATATTTTTAAAATTTTATTAAAATTAATATAGAAAGAATAATTTATATAAACACAATTCTGTACTTTATGACTCAATGGTGTCAAGTATTAAGAATTATTTAGAAATATATCAAAATACTTTATTAGTAATAATTTAAAG